CAACTACACATGCACACAAACATGTGCTCACATACCCCAACACACATGTATCCTCACATGCTCACACGCACATGCTCACACACACAGGTGCTCAACCCTCACATGCACATGCGTTCACATGCTCACCCACCCTCACACACACATGTGCAGTGCTCACTAACACACCCTCTCACACACATGCTCACAGCACGTTTACAAGCACACACATGCACATGCTCACACTCATACCCTCACATGTGCTCACACCCACTCTCACATGTGCTCACACGCACTCACACACATGCTCACACACCTTTGCACACACACACATGCTCACACTTACACTCTCAGCACATGCATGTGTTGCTCACCCTCACATACACACATGCAGTGCTCACTCTCACGTACATACGTGCTCGCACACACCCACGTGCTCACACCCGCACACATGTTCACACACACACCCTCATATGTGCTCACTCACACCTTCGCACATACACATGCTCCCACATGCACCCTCACACACCTCCCCCAGTACATCTGCTTTGTTTCTCTAAACCCGCCCTTCTGCAGCTTCTTCCATCAGGACACATCCGGCCCAGAGCCTCACAGACACGTGCCCGTGGGCTAGCCTCACAGTCTGCTCCAGAAACATCTGACAAAACTTTTATGGTCAGTAGAAGTGCAGTCCACAGAGGCTGGGACCCCAGGGAAAAGCTAGCCATCACTGTACCTAGTCTGAGGGACGTCCTTGGAGACAGCTCCCCAGAGGCTGTGTCCTGGTGACAAGCATCCAGACCAATCCCATGACAAAAGCGCTGCTGGGGACATCCCTGCACATCTCTGCGCCAGCGAGACCGATTTCGAGCCCATTTCTAGGAAGGACGGCTGACTGGAGGGTGTGAGGGGCATGTAAACGTGAGCACTTCAGCCCAATGGCCCCCCAAAGCCTGCAGCAGCTTAGGTTCTAGCCAATGATGGGGGACGTGTCCCCGTGTGCTCTTGGCACCAAACGGCCTCCCGTGCCATGGACTTCTTGCCCTCTCAGCTCTCAGCCCCTTGCCTTGGGGCTGTGTGGAGCTCCTCCTCTGGGGCTCACCACCAGCTGGGACCTGGGTCTCAGCTTCTTGGATCTGTCAAATGAGCGCAAATGAGTTTTCCAGTCTGTTCCCTATCTTTCATCTTTGTCCAGGACACCTTTTCCTGAGATGTTTTAGAATGTAAAGAAATCCAATCTGATCACTTCTTTTATCTTACATAGCCACCTTCCTAACTCATTAGGGGAGCTGTAGGGTTGAACCGAGTTAGTGTGTGCATGGCCAGTGGGGAGCGGGCAGTGAGAGCTGAACCCCACATCACACATACCCAGGCCGACAGAAGCGCTAATGCAGGAGCGTTTCCTAGGAGCGGGGTAGGTATATGGGTGGGTGGATGGGTGGGTAAATGGAAGGGTGGATGGATGGGTAGATGGGGGGATAGGTGGATGGGTAGGTGGGTAGGTGGATGTGTGGGTAGGTGGATGGGTGGGCAGGTGGATAGGTGGATGGATGGGTAGATGGGGGGATAGGTGGATGGGTAGGTGGGTAGGTGGATGTGTGGGTAGGTGGATGGGTGGGCAGGTGGATAGGTGGATGGATGGGTAGATGAGTTCACCAAGGCCACATTGTGGCCACACACCCAAGGCTAGAAGAGAGGGTGGCTGTCTAGTGAAAGAGAAATGCCCTAAACTGACCCAAGAGGCAGAAAACCCAAACAGGCCAATCACCAGGAAAGACACGAGGACATTCTTAAAAGTTGACCCTGAACACAGGCACCAAGGATGGAAGTCTGCCACATTTGTCCCCTTTCTACCTTCAGAGAAGGCTGTACCCTAACCCCTGGGGACTTTTGGTTTTCTGACACTAAGGTAGCCAGGGTGGAGGTGGAAAGAGGAGACAGTGGGTTAGCCAGGTTTGGGGCCTGTGGCAGAGGAATGGCAGAAGGCAGGATATACCTGGCACCCGGCAGGGACTCATGTACTGGATGGATGGAAGGATGGATGGATGGTGCATGGGTCCGTGGATGAATGTGGATGGGTGGATGAGTAGGTGGGTAGGTGGATGGGTGGATGGATTGGTGAATGGGTAGATGGATGGGTTGGTGAATGGGTAGATGGGAGGATAGATGAGTGGATGGAAGGGTGGATGGAAGAGTAGATGGATGGAAGAGTAGATGGATGGATGGGTGGGTAAGTGGGTCAGCGGGTAGTTGGATGGATGGGTGAGTAGTGGATGGATGGATGAATGGGTGGATTGATGGGTAGGTGGGTAGGTAGATGGGTGGATAGATAGGTGGATGGATGGGTAGGGTGGTAGGTGGATGGGTAGTTGGATGAGTTGGTGAATGGTTAGATGGATGGGTGGGTGGTGGATGGATGGGTAGATGGGTGGATGGATAGGTGGGTGGATGGATGGATAGATGGATAGGTATAGGGATGGGTCAATGGATTGGTAGGTGGGTAGGTGGATGGGTAGATGGATCAGTGGATGGATGGATGGATGGGTCGGTGGATGGGTATATGGATGTATGGATAGGTGTATGGGTTGGTGGGTAAACGGAAAAGTGGATGGATGGGTAGGTTCATGGGTAGATGGGTGGATAGGTGGATGGGTGGGTAGGTGGGTAGATGGATGGGTGAATACGTGGGTAAGTAGATGGGTGGGTAGGTAAGTAGATGGGTAGGTGGATCGGTAGGTGGATGGGTATGTGAGTAGGTGGGTAGATGGAAGGGTATATGGAGAATGGGTAGGTGGGTAGGTGGATAGATGGATAGACGGATGGGTGGATGGGTGGGTAGATGGGTAGACAGATGGGAAAGTAGGTAAGTAGATGGACGGATAGGTGGTTGGGTGCGTGGGTAGGTGGATAGGTGGATACTTGGATAGGTGGGTAGGTGGATGGGTGGGTAAGTGGGTAGATAGATGGAGAGGTAGGTAAGTGGATGGATGGGTAGGTGGATGGGTGCATGGGTAGATGGAAGGGTGGATGGATGGGTAGGTGGGTAGGTGGATGGATGGATGGGTGGGTAGATAGGTAAGTGGATGGATGGGTAGGTGGATGAGTGTGTGGGTAGGTGGGTAGATGGAAAGGTAGATGGACGGGTAGGTGGATGGGTGTGTTACCCACCTAACCTTCCATCCACCCACCCACCTATCCACCTACCCACCCCTCAACCTAATAGATGGGTAGGTGGATGGGTGTGTGGGTAGGTGGGTAGATGGAAGGGTAGGTGGATGGGTAGGTGGGTAGGTAGATGGTTGGGTAGGTAGGTAAGTAGATGGGTAGGTGGATGGGTGTATTACCTACTTAACCTTCCGTTCCCCTACCCACCTATCCACCTATCCACCTATCCATCCATCCACCCATCCACTTACCTGCCTACCCACACCTCAACCTAAGTAAATGGGTAGGTGGATGGGTGTGTGGGTAGGTGAGTAGATGCAAGGGTGGATGGATGGGTAGGTGGATGGGTGGGTAGGTCGGTAAGTTGATGGGTGGGTCGGTAGGTAAGTGGATGGGTAGATGAGTGGATGGGTGGGTAGGTGGATACATGGATGAGTAGGTAAGTGGCTGGGTGGGTGAGTAGGTAGGTGTATGGGTGGATGGGGAGAAGATTCAGGGAAACACATGGCTGAGGGCTGGGCTAGCTACAGGAAGCCACGAGGAGGAAAAAGCAGATATGGGAAGAAGGATCAGCTGGAGAAGGAGGCCCAGCTGCGCTGGACGACGACAGCCTTGGTGTTGTTGTTGTTGTTGTTGTTATTTGCCGTCGAGTCAGCCCCGACTCATAGCGACCCCTCCTTGGGTTTCCGAGGCAGTATCACTACGGAAGTAGGATTGCCCAACCTTCCTTCTGAGGAGTGGCTGGTGGGTTTGAACCGCCAGCCTTCTGGTTAGCAGTCAAGTGCTTTAGGCACTATGCTACCAGAGCTCCCGACGACAGCCTTAGGGGCTGAGAAATGGCCCCCCAGCAGGGGCGTGCCGGCAGGCCTGGTGTGGAAGCAACATCAGATGCGGGAGGGTGCCGCCTTAGAAAATGACAAAACAGCAGATTCAGACAGCAAACGGAGCTGCTGTGGGTCCAAGGTGAGTAACAGGATGGGTGCAGAGGCAAAGTGGGAGACTACATGTGAAAGTGTAGAAAAAAATCTGTCCTTGACTGGGACAGAAGGCGGGGGCCAAGCGGCTGAGTGTGGACGCCTGCACGGTGGGGTCTGCACACATAGAGCATCTGTCAGGAGCACTTAACCACTGGGTGCTCCACGGCCCTCTTCCCAAGGTGGCAGGTGGGTTCTTGGAATGACAAGGCCCCTGAGACAAGGCCTTTTCTGATGTCCCTGAACGCAAGAAGCTGATGTTTATAGTGTCTTCAGAGGACGCTCAGGTGGTTCGTCCGTTCTGGCCTCTAGCACCTGGCACACAATGGCCACGCAGCAAATATCAGTGGGACACGCCAATGATGCATGTCTGCTCCCGCCACACCCTCCACTAGAAGCCTAGTAATCCGTGGCCCCGGGGCCCCCAACGTGAGCTAGCCCCAGCCCGTGCACTCTGGCAGTCGTCCTGCACACAGTGGATACTCCACTAGCTACTGCTGTTCTCCCTGGGAAGAGAGTATAGGACAAGGACAGCTTCCGGCCTTTCCCTGTTCCTCCCAGAGGAAGACTTTCCCAAATGCCTAAGTGCCCACCCTCCTTCAACGCTCCGTAGTTCAGGAGGACGTGCTGAGGGAAGCCAAGACCAGGCTCAGCACTGAACACCCACCACTGGTGACCCTTCCACATGTTCTCAGCTCAGGAGATCCACAAGAACACTCATCCTTCCAAAAAGGAGTGAGATGGCCTGGACCTCCCTTCTGGAACATTCCTTGTGGACATGGCTCCCGGGCCCTGAACTTCCCTCAGCTTTTGGGCCCTGAGACTGCAGGGGATCCTGGTGGGATGAAGGCCCCAGAGCCTCAACTGGAGGTTCATCACAGTCACTGGAGCTCTCCGGGAGCCAGGGGTGGAAGCCTCAAGGGGCGGAGCACCAGCAACGGTGGCAGAAGAGGCGCTGGTACGGTGCTCCGGGAACCACCAGCGCCCACGTGTCGCCGTGGGACCCCGCTCTGCAAGGGCTGCTCGCTCTCCCGGGCCCCGCAGCCACTCACCCCGGGGACGGCCCAGCCCTGCACGGAGCCGGTTTCCGGCCTCCACCAGCTGCTCGTTCTGCTGCTGCAGGCGCATGATGCTCCAGGCTGCGGCCCTCAGCTTCCGCTGCAGTCGGCGCTCTGGGGATCGCGGTGCAGGCCTCGGCTTGGTGCTGTGGGACTCACCACCTGCAGGGCCCTGCAGTGCAAACACAGGCAGCCGTCAGACATGGCAGCACCTGCCAATGGGCGAGGCGGGACGAGAGGAGGGGTGCCACTGGATGGGAGCCCTCTGTGACCTTGCATGCCCAGGGCCCCCTTCCTGGCTCCGATTGTCCCTGTCTGCCCCCCAGCCATGCCGCCCCCCCAAAACAGGCATCTCTGTCCACACCAGCGGTTACACAAAGGTGCTACCGGGGTGCATCCACAGGGGGACAGAGGGCAGCTGCATGCTGTGGGATCACCTGCACGCCGCGGGGTCACGTGCACGCCGCGGGGTCACCTGCCTCCTCTCGGGCTGGGTGTGGCCTCAGGCCCTCAGCTCGCCCCCCCACTTCCGGCCCTCTTTGCCTCTGTCCCTCCCTGGTGAGGATGGTGAACATCAAGTGGCCCTGCCCGTTGGCCCCTGACAGTGATGTCAGGACTCGGGGCCAGGGCAGCTCTTCCAGAGGGTCCTTCCTGACTCCAAAAGGTGGGGTCAACCACTGACCCTCAATGAGCGTGCTGACAGGATGCCAGGACACACCCAGGCCGGATTCCCACAATGTGGGGGCAGGAGTGGCACAGAGTATGGGGCCCCCTGCTGCTCAGGGGCTACCCCCAGCAGTGCTCCAAAGAGGTGGGGTAAGAAGAGCAAGTACAGGAAAGAGGGATGGGGGCAGGTACTTCAGGTGAGGGTCGGAGACACCCCAGGAGGCCCTGCCCCACTTGGGCCACCTGGCCCCCCACCTGGGAAAGCCACATCACGCCTGCCTGGCAGGGCACCCACCCGGAGCCCTGGACGGACAAGCACAGCCTGTCCTGCCAGGTGTCCAGGCGTGCTGCCATGCCCTCCTGGTGCTGGCGCTGGGGCCCGGGCACACGCCGCAGGCCAGGCTGGTGCACTGCAGGGGGTAGTGGCAGGGACGGCAGGGACAGCCTTGCCAGCCTGAGGCCCTCTGGAGCAAGACAGTGCTGAGACTCCGTGGCCCATTCTCCCCTTGGCAGGGCACCCCCAGCCTACTCCCCTGAGTGTGACTGTTGTACCTCTGTCGAAGTCAGCACCCCTCCCCATGCCCTGGCACCTATGGTGCTCCTGGCCACACAGGGGAAAGGACGGGAAGGCAGGGGACCTGGGGCCCATCCATGTCCAGGGACCAGCTCTTCTTGAGGGACCCTCAGGGACAGGAGGACAGATCCACGGGGAAAGTGTCACGGCCTTCCTGCCTGGCCTGCTGTGAGCAATTGCATGGAGAGGGGACCGGGCCTGTGATGAGGGGATGGCTTCTGGCTTGCTGTCAGCTAGCTGATGTGAGGAGAGCTATTCTGGGGACTGAAACTTAGCAAACCTCCTAAGACAGAAACTTAGAACAAAACCCACCCTTCCAAAGCAGCACCTCCAAAGCTGGCCGAGCCGTGGTGGACGGCTCCGGCTCCAGTGATGCTGATGTTTTGGTCAGAGGCTGAGTGCGGCAGCCTACTGCTGAGTCCCTGTCCCGTGTCTGGGAAGTCACAGAAGGAGGCCACCTCCCTGGGCCCCACTGGTCAAGTTCCGGATTTACTCTGAGCCTCTCTGCAGCCCCTCCCGAGAGTACCAATTCTGTGGTTTGAGCCCAAAGTCTCAAGCCACTGGCCCCAGCCTGAGCCGAGGCCCGGCCCACTCTTCGGTGAGTACAGGGTCATGTCCCAGTGGGACCAGGCATCACGAGAATCTCACATGTTGGATTCTGTTTTCAGAGAGGAGCTCTCAGTCAGGGCCCGCAGCAGGCGTCTGTATCCTGTCACGTCCCAGGGTCCAGGTCCCAGGGTCCAGAAACATCCAGTCCTACCACCACGGTAACTGTGAGGATGGTGGACAACAGTGACACACTGCCCCCTGGTGGGTGGTGGGGCCCAAAGCAGTGGCCCTGCAGTCCCAGGAGCAGCTGGTTCCAATCTGCCCCCAGCCTCTCTGGTCCCTTCCAGTTCACAGCACACAGGCAAACCGCAGGCCCCTGGCCAGGCTAAGAGGCTCCCACGCTTGGCATAACTGGTGGGGCAGTGCTAGCTTTTTATCTGACAGAGTTTCAGACTTACAGAAGCATTACAGGGTAGCAGCAGGGACCCTGTGGGCCGTCTACCCAGGCTCACAGGGCGACAGCTGCCCGTTGGGACGTCATTGGTTCCAACATGTTCTCCTGAACCATCTCAGGGTAACTGGAAACGCTGGGCCCCTTCACACATTCAATGTCAACAAGGTCATTCCCGGTGCCCACAGCACAACCCTCAAAATCGCAAGTCCTACCTGCACAACCCTATGATCCCGTCCACACTCACTTCCGTCCACATGATAGGCGTGTGGACAGTCTCAGGCACGTCCCTGACCCAGCACAGGACAGTCACTCTGCTGTGGGGCTTGTCAGTCTCCTTTGCCGGAATGTTCTCAGCCTGCATTTGTCCTCACAGCTCTAATGTGTGGGGCATGCCCCTCAGTGTGGGTTCACCAGATGCATCCTCGCTGTCACACCTGGGCTCTGCACCTTGCAGGGGCACCAGAAGGGACACTCCTGTGTGGAGCTGTGGGGTGGGGTGTCCGTCCATTGGTGATGGTGGCTCTGTCTACTCGGTTAAGGTGGTGGACACCGAGTTCCTCCACTGAAGGGTCCCTGCTCCCTGTGTTAATAAGTAATTTTGGGGAGAGACTGCAGACTGAAAAGCACCATTTCTTATCAGCCTCTCTGGCTGCATCACGCCTGCTGACGGGCCTGTGTGCTGCCAGCTGACCTCCACTCTGAGGACAAGCTCTCTCTTCACCTGTCTACCTGCTCAAGATTCAAGTGGACACACACATGGACAGGCACGTAGACACGCATGTGGACACTCGCATGGACGAGCAAGTGGATGGGCATGTGGACATGCGTGTGGATAGGCACATGGCAGTTCATGTGGACATTTGTATAGATAGGCGTGTGGACACGTGTGCGGACAGGTGTGTGGGTGGACAGGTGTGTGGACATGTGGGTGGGTGGGGGTGTGGACACACATGTGGACAGGTACGTGGAACCATGTGTGGACAACTGGATGGATGCACATTGTTCTCTCCCTCCCTTGCTGTCCTGTTTCCCACCATCACTGACCAGCCCCATTTGTCCACAGAGCCTTCTGGGCTGGTCCCACACCCTCCCAGTGCCCCTGCTGGGGCAGCCGTCTCCCCAGGGAGCCTGGTTCTGAGAGTGCACAGGAAGCACACATGCTCTGGGCCTGGGCGTGCTCACAGCTCCTGGGAGGCTCTGCTCCCAAACCCTCTGGGGCACAGCTGGAAAGCACACACATCCTAGTGACGCCCCAGCCCCCGCCACTCCCTCTCCATGCTATGACCTCCCAGAGCAAGTAGCCTGACACCCAGGAGCCCCACGGAGTCCTCTTCCTGATGGGCTGAGATGGTCGTACAGGCCTTGGTGAGCCTGGCCAGGGAGGGCACCTCTGCTTCCTGCATGCCACATCCCCCAAGGGGGTGACTGGAGGTCACGGATGGGGGTCTTACCGGGGATCCTGCATATGAGGAATGAGGCCCAAGAACTGGGCTCAGGCTCGAACCCTGGAAGCACACTCTTTGGTAACACTTCTTCCTCCTCTCCTGTATGGCTTCTTGCCCCTCTACCCTGGGAGCTCTGGTGGCACAGTGTGCCTAAGGCATGTGACTGCTAACCAGCAGGTTGGCAGTTCAAACCCACCAGCCACTCCTCAGAAGGAAGATTGGGCAATCTACTTTCATAGTGATACTGCCTCGGAAACTGAAGGAGGGGTTGCTACGAGTCCGATCCAACTCGATGGCAGTGCCTTGCATTCCTGCGTTGCCCCTCCACTCTAAACTAGCAGGGGTGGGGCTGGGCCCTCATGGGGTGTGGGGGGACAGGGATGGGATGTGTGTGTCCCAGCAGCGTCCACAATGAGCCAGGGTGTGAACAGTGCTGGGGGCGGCAAAGGGAGGGACCGCCCTACAGGGCCAGCAGAGGCCCCCACAGCAGGGTGTGGGGCCCTGGTGACAGATGACTCTCCAGTGGGCGCAAAGACCACCCTGCCCCCAGCCCTGCTCCTACTCCAGCCCCTGGCCGCCTGGGATGTCCTCAGAGGGCTGGGGACCACACCTCCTCCAGTTTGAGTCACAGCTCCCACAGAGGCACCAGCCCCTTGTACCCTAGGAATTGGCTCTCAATACCAGCAGTGGCTGGGCACCCACCTGTCTCCTGAGAGCTGTGGCCTCCAGGGCTTGTGGCTGTGTCCTGCCCGCCACATCCCCTCCTTCCTTCCAGGTAGCACCAAGATGCCTTTCCAGTTCAGCCACCTGCAAGGCCAGCTCCGAGACCTCCATGTGCACCTGGTCCACTTCACGGGGCAGCTGGAGTCGGACAGCATCCATCACTGGGGGCTTCTGTAGCACCTAGTCACCCCGCAGATGGGTCAGGAGGGAGAGCATGAGGGGTTTGGAGCAGGTGTGAGGGAGCAGCTGTGAGGGAGCAGGTGTGAGGAGCAGCTGTGAGGGAGCAGGTCCCGGGAGCAGGTGTGAAGAGCAGGTGTGAAGAGCAGGTGTGAGGAAGCAGGTCCCGGGGAGACCAATGAGTGACTGAGAAGAGCAGAGCCAGGAAGTGGGGAAGACAGCCCCCTGCCCACCCGGCAGGTCCACTCATCCAGAGTGTGTGGCACCCAGGGCTGCTGAGCCCCAGTGCTGTGGGGACACGGAGACACGGTACCTGAGGCAGAGCCCCAGTGCTGTGGGGACACGGTACCTGAGGCAGAGCCCGCTCCAAGCCCCAAGGCGATGGGGAAGAGCCTCAAACCCTTTCCCTGAACCCGAATCCCAGGTAGGAACTCAGGTCTCCTGAAAGGTGCAGGGGGCAGGGTCATCAAAGGGTCAGGGATGGAGGGCTGAGGCCATAAAGAGGGAAGTTCCCGCCCATAGGAACAAAAGGCAGTGACCCCATTCTGCCTCAAAATTAGTCAAAACTGGAAACTTCTGTGCTTCAAGGGGCACCACCAAGAAAGCGGAAAGATAACCTACAGCACGAGAGAAAGCCGAAAATCACCAGCTGCTGAAGGACTGGATCCCAAACCCATGGACAGCGCGCACGGCTCAGCAATAAAAGGACTCACAACTCGACTTTAAAATACACAAAGGGCCAGTCGGCACAGGGCCGCGGTTCCATATCACTGCTCATCAGGGGAATGCGATCAAAGCCCTTCACCCACGCTAAGATGCCACAATAAACGAGTAAGTGTAAGTGTTGGCGAGGAAGTGGGGAGACCAGCACCCTTGTCTGCTGCTGGGGGGAGGGCAAGACGGGGCACCGTTGTGGGCAACAGCCTGGCAGCCCCTAAATGACTGAGCACAGGATCCCATCCGACCCAGCAATTCCACTCCGAGGTACTGACCCAAGAGATCTGAAAGCAAGAACTCAAACAGGTACTTAGAGGCAAATTTTTCCTGCAGCACTACTCCTAACAGCCAAAAGGGGGAAACTATACAACGTCCATCAACAGATGATGGACAAGCAGAGCGTGGCGCGTACACATCAGCCATAAACGCAGTGAAGTTCTGATATGTGCCGTGACACGGCTGAGCTCCAAATGTGATGCTGAGCGATCAGTGACGGCAAACACTGATCTATGGGTGGACAGACGGGTGGGCAGACAGGTGGACAGACGAGGAGACAGATGGGGGACAGATGAGGGGATAGACGGGGGGACAGACGGGTGGGCAGACGGGTGGACAGATGGGTGGGCAGATGGGTGGATAGATGGGGGACAGATGGGAGACAGACGGGGGGACAGACAGGTGGGCAGACGGGTGGACAGACGGGGGGACAGATGGGTGGGCAGATGGGTTGATAGATGGGGGACAGATGAGGGGACAGATGGGAGACAGACGGGTGGACAGACAGGTGGGCAGACGGGTGGACAGACGGGGGGACAGATGGAGGGACAGATGGGGGACAGATGAGGGGATAGACAGGGGGACAGACGGGTGGGCAGACGGGTGGATAGACGGGTGGGCAGATGGGTGGATAGACGGGTGGGCAGATGGGTGGATAGATGGGGGACACACGGGGGGACAGATGGGGGACAGATGGGTGGACAGATGGATGGATAGATGGGTAGACAGATGGGTGGATAGATGGGTGGACAGAAGGGTGGATATATGGGGGCACAGATGGGGGGATAGGTGGGGGGCAGACAGGTGGATATATGGGGGGACAGATGGGGTGGTAGATGGATGGACAGATGGGTGGATAGATGAGTAGACATGGCAAACACTGATCTATGGGTGGAAAGATGGGTAGATAGATGGGTGGACAGGCTGAACTATTAGCTATGTCTATGCAGGGGGGAAAGTGCCCAAGACCATGTATAGGGATGGCAGACAACGTTTCTACAAGTGTATCTGTATGTTCTATAAGAATGTCCAGGTGTCTAGTAGAGTTGACAAGGGACAAAGTTGTAGTCACTTCTTGGCCACAGCCAGCTACCAGAGGGAACAAGTAGTTAGACCTGTGGGCTTGGGACCATGGTGACAGGGGACATCAAGCTCAATTGGCAATAACATACTCCATAAAAACATTGTTCCACCCCTACTTTGGCAAGTAGTGACTGGGATCTTAAAACTTTACAAGTGGCCATCTAGATGCAACAATGGGTCTCTCCTTGTCCAGAGCAAAAAAGAATGAAGAAAACCAAAGATGCATGAAAATAATTAGTCCAAGCAACTGGTACACCATGTGATCCTCAGCCTATACAACTATGAGACCAGAAGAACTAGATGGTGTCTGGCTACTACTATCAACCACTTGGAGGGGAATTAGGGCAGGAGATCCTGGACAGAATGAGAGAACAATGTGGAACTAAAGTCAGAATTATTGAAAAAAAAAAAAAAAAAAGGGACCAGGTTTGCTGGTCTGATAGAGCCTGGTGGGACCTCTGAGACTATGGCCCCTAGCTGCCCGTCAGGTCTGAAACTGAACCCAATCCTGTGGCTTCCAGCCAAACGAAAGGCAGGCCTATGAGCTGAACATTTACATTAGGCAGATACACTCCTTGGAGAGAACAATCATGGGAGAACAGAAGGGCTGTGTGTGCACAGGGAGACAGCTCAGGGGGCAGGAGTGCATGGAAGGAAGGACACAGGGAAGAGGTAACTATGGGGAGGAAGTAGGAGGGGAGCTGTTGCATTGTGGGAAATTGCAGTCAATGTCATGAGACAGTGTATGTGAGCTGCTGTATGGAAAGTGAATTTGCTTTTTAAACTTTCACCCAAATCACAATAAAAATTAAAAAGAAAAAAATAAATGTTATGCTGAGGGAAAGATGTTGTTGTTGTTATGTGCCATCGAGTCGGATCCGACTCATAGTGACCCCTCCTTGGGTTTCCAAGGCAGTATCACTACGGAAGTAGATTGCCCCATCTTCCTTCCGAGGAGTGGCTGGTAGGTTTGAACCGCCAGCCTTCTGGTTAGCAGTCAAATGCCTTAGGCACTACGCTGCCAGAGCTCTCGAGGGAAAGATACAGATGTGAAAGGCTGCATACTGCGTGACAGGGACTCTACAGACAGAAGGTAAGGAAGTTGGCGAGGCTGTGAGGCCGGAGGAACAGGGGAGGGCGGCTTCTTTGGGGTGACTAGAAGTTCTCAAGGTGAGGTGGTGCTGGTACTCAGCTCCGGGGATGCACTGAGACCACTGCGCGTCCCTGAAGCGGAGACTGGATGGCATGGGAGCTGTATCCCTGCAGAGCTGTACTGAACAGAAGCCTGGCACACGGCCTCCTCTGCGGGGCCCCTCCTGAGGACTGGGAATGGGACGCATCACGGTGCAAAGAATTCACCTAGAGAGGCTGTTTTCTAGCACATGCACAAATCTTGGTGATGTTCAAGAGGAGCCCAGGGGGGAAAGTGTGCCTCCCCACCAGGCCACCCAGGGTGGTGCCGTCCAGGAGGGGCAGGGGCTGCCTGGGCAGTACCACCCTCAGGGTGCCCTGCCTGCCTCTGAGGACACACGTGCATTCAGCCAGGCCCAGTGTGTCAGCCCCCAGGCAAAACCAGAGGGAGCCAGGGTCTGCACGGGGCAGCGCCCCTTGCACCCCAAGGTGTCAACAATGTGCACCTATTCCCCAGGAGAAAAACTAACCAAATCGTAAAACAAAAAATTCAAAACGGAGAAGCATTTTTAAATGAAGCAGCCTTCACTCTCAGGGACTTCTCTGACCCCTGTAGACAGACAGGAACTCAACAGGTCCTTTGTTAAAAGATTGAAAATGGAAGAAAGTCTTCACTTCAAAAATTGGTATTATGAACCTGCAGCAACACAACATGTCTCGCGGGTGGTGACAGGGATTTGAGGGGTCACATCACAAGGGAAGTGGCCGGCCCAGTCTGACCATGACCCAGTGAGGGCAAGGGGACTGATGCAGGATGGGCACTATGTGCTGGCACTCCTGCCACCTGACCAGCTGCCAAAGGTCCAATGGGTCCCCGGGAACACTGGGGACCTGGCCTGTCCACTCACATTGGCCTCCTTACTCTAAACCTTTGCTCTTGTCTATGCACCTTCTACAGACCATGCCTACATATAAAACACACACACACCTACACACGCACACGGCACACACGTGGCATAGACACATACACTCAGTCATGTACTGCACATACACAGCAGAAACAGCACAGAAACACATACAGTCAAGTACCACACACACAACAGCACATAGCACATGCTCACACGCACTCACACACAGATGGACAAAGATGTATACACATATGCAAGCACAGCACAATCTCACACGTGTGTGTGCAATCAGCTGACACACACAACACTCTGCCCAAGAAGTTCTGAGGAGTGTCTGTGGTCGCCAGGACTCGCACCCACAGCCGGCTCTGAGCCTGCGCATGTCCTTCCGGTAGGGGCCCTGTGGTGTGACAGCACAACGTGCACTTTGACAGGTCAGCCTTACCGTTTGTCGAAGCCTGGAGACTAGGCAGTCCAGCAGATGGACCCTGCCCGCGAGCTTGCTGCAGGCCAGCACAGTGGGCGCCAGCTCGGCCTGCCAAGGACCCCCTGTAGAAAAGAGCACCCTCAGGCCCCAGTTCCACAGCGAGCCTCAAGGGGGCTCACTCACCCCTCTCTTTAGGGACTTAGGCATGGGTCATCCAGGAATGTGGGAAAACGGCAGCCCCTGGAAGCGTCCAGAGGGCAGTAGTCTGCACCAGCCTCCTCCTTAAGCACAGCGCCGTCTGTCCGGAAATGAAGAAGAGTCGGAGAACCCACCGTGGATGGAAGATAGCATGGAAGTGAGTAATCAGGACCACGGAACGCGGCGAGAGCTGTCCTGTCAGGGTGCCACCAGCCTAACATGCTCATTTCAGAAAGGAAGACAGGCTGACAATAAGCAACTGAAGGGTCACCCCAGAAAATGAGGAAAACAGCCACCAATTCAAATCAAATACAGTAGAAGGAAAACAGTAAAGTTAACATTAGATATTGAGAAGAAAGAAAATTGGGGGAAAAAAAAGATAAACCCTCTGTAAGACTAAGCAAGAAAAAGAGTATGTGTGCGTGCATGTGTGCATAAGTGTGCATGCATTTGAGTGCACGTGTGCACATTCGCATCCACGTGCACACATGTACGTGCACACGTGTTTTGTGCATGTTTGTACACACGTGTGTGTGGTATGTGCATCTGTGTGCACATGTGGTATGTGCATCTGTGTGCAAGTGTGTGCAAGTGTGTTTGCATGCACATGTGTGTGGGAGTTGTGAGTGTGCATCTGTGTGCATCCATGTGTGTGCACATGCATTTGTGAGTACATGCATGTGCAGGAATGTTTCTGTGTGCATCAGTGCACATGTAGGTACATGCATGAGTACATGCACTGTGTGCATCCATGAATGAGTGCGTGTACATGCATGAGTGCGTGCATTTAGATGTTCATTTGTGTGCATGTGTGTGCAGAAACCAACGACCGAGATCATGAGTAAAAAAGGGGTGCTGCTGTCTCAGGTCCCAGACACATTTTAAAAATCCTGGGAAGGCACCACAAGCAACCTTATGCCAAAACATTGAAAAATTTAGATTAAATGGGCAATTTTCTAGTAAAAAACGGCATGCATCAAAATCTGGGTAGTTCCCTAACTATGAAAAATCCCAAGCTCATAATTTAAGACCTTCTTGCAAGGAACACTCCAGGCTCAGGGGCTTCAAGTTGAGTTCTGTCAACTGTTCAAGGAGAAACAAACATAAACCTGATATAAACTATTTTAAAAAAATAAGGGGCACCTCCCAACACATTCACAAGGCCAGAGTGACCTTGACTCCAAATTTTGACATGGACGCTGTGGAGAAGGACACTCCCATGCCTGCCTCACTCACAGACTAAACACAGCAATTCCCAGTGAAGCAGTTGCAACACAAACCCAGCAACTTGCAAAAGGGACAGCACATCCCAATGTGCTGGGCTTATTCCAGAAATGCAAGTCAGTGTAACAAAGGAGGTTTGCGTTTCTGGGCAAGGTGCAGTGTGTGCATTCCACTGGCTCCTCTCACTGAACACGATTAAAAGCCGAGGACTAGACACAGAAAGCAGCTACCAGACGATTCTGGAAGGTGAGGGTGAGGAGGCAGCCAGGTCAGGGACCCTGGGTTTCACAGGGCGACTGTGCAGTGGGCCCGTCTTGCTTTGTCGTGGCTGGGATGGATCTAGGCTAGCCTGGATGCTGAGTGGCCCACCACCCAGAAAAAGCACCAAGCGCCGAGAACACAAGACCCAAGAAGAGCCTGCTCCTGTGTGTGGAGGAGGAAGGGCAGGCAGAGGCAGGCCCGGAGGGTGGGGCTGTTGGCCACACTCACCCCGGGGGACAGGCCTGTCCCCAGCGGTTTCATCAGCAGCACAGGTCCCAGGCTGGATGTCAGCATGTGAAGAGGTCATCTTTGGAGGGTCTAAGACATCTTCCAATTGTTCCTCCAGTGTTTTGAATTTATGCTTTAGGCTTCGTATTTCTGCTTCAAGGGCCAGAACATGATCTGTCAAAAAAAAGAAAACCATTTAAGAAGTCTATGAACATATGCGTGTGCACACACATCCCCAACACAGAGGCTGAGAGCTTACGAGCTTCCCAGCCCCTGCAGGCTCCAGCCTTGTCCTCTCCTCCCTCCTGGACCCGCACAACTGTCCCCATGTGATTACACTATTCACGAGTCATGACTGTGTTAGGACTCAATTGTGTCCCCCTAATGTGAGAGGCAAGTCTGTCTGGAAAGAGGCTCTGTTGGTTATGCTAATGAGCTCATACCCCAGTGGGGTGGGCCCCGAACCTAACCCTCCTGAGGTATCTCAGGTAAAGAGCAGAGTAGACAGACACACACAGGGGAAGACAGATCAACCACAACCAAAGGAGTACTAAGAATGCTCTGGGCTACCGACAAGGAGGGACTCCTCAACCTTCCGCAGAGCAGCTGGTGGGTTTGAACTGCTGACCTTTTGCAGTTAGTATTAGCAGCCTAATACTGCTTCCTCACCGGAGCTAGGAAAATAGACAGCCTGAGAAACTTTCCCGCCCTCAACCACTAGAGGGCACCATCCAGAGACCAGCATGGTCTCTCTTTTCTTTTTTCTCCAAGGAGGGGTTGCTACGAGTTGGCTTCAACTCGACTGCAGTGAGGCCTCACTTATCAAGCATTTTGTCATCTGACATTTCGCACTCATGACAATAGTGAAAATCTACTGTTGTGTGTGTGAAAATGCCGAGGTGTGAGGTGAGAGGAATGCTGGCTGTGATGGTTACGTGTCAACGTGGCTGGGCCCCGATTCTCAGTGGTTTGGCAGTTACGTAATGATGTCAGTAGGCAATTATGTGATGATGCACTCACTCTCATTTTGTGATCTGTCCCCCATTTTCACATAAGGCCAGTTTTTGATTAACGGTTGGGTCTTTGGAACTTCACCATGCTGATCAGCAAGGAGTGAGCATCCTGACATACCTGTGTCCGCCGCACCTGCTTTCATGCACCAGCGTGGACGAGTACCTTGAGTAGGGGGCCACGCATCCATGCCCCCAAGGCACCTCCACCACGAACAAAGCACGGGGAGGTATGCTCACCTCAGCTAAACATGACACGTCTGCAGGCTGTGATGGGGTCCAGGCCTAAGTGTACTGTGCGGTCTTCATTTTCCCTCTGACTAACAATGAAACATTTTGTCTTACGTATGAAACGTGACCCAATTCCCTTCCCTCAGAGGAAAAGCAGCAGCCGTTCTTTGACTAAAGGGATGTTCATTTACTGACTCTGTGACCACTTGGAACGCAGGAGCAAGTGTGCCTGCCAGCCCTCTTGTCTGCCTCCCTGTCGCACACACAAGGGGCCCCTCCCTGTCACACACACACACCATACCAGGCCCCTCCCTGTCTCACACACACCGGGCCCCTCCCTCCCTGTCTCACACACACCGGGCCCCTCCCTCCCTGTCTCACACACACCGGGCCCCTCCCTCTCTGTCGCCCACACACCAGGCCCCTCCCTCTCTGTCTCACACACGTCGGGCCCCTCCCTCACTGTCTCACACACGCCGGGCCCCTCCCTCCCTGTCTCACACACACCGGGCCCCTCCCTCTCTGTCTCACACACACCGGGCCCCTCCCTGTCTCACACACGCCGGGCCCCTCCCTCTCTGTCGCACACACACGCCGGGCCCCTCCCTCTCTGTCGCACACACACCAGGCCCCTCCCTGTCTCACACACGCTGGGCCCCTCCCTCTCTGTCACACACACACCGGGCCCCTCCCTCACTGTCTCACACACGCCGGGCCCCTCCCTCCCTGTCTCACACACACCGG